GGAACACGTTGACCATGTGATAACAAAAGCACGCAAAGGTCTATCTGCAATGAGGATTATGGCTGCTTCCAATATCGAGCAAAGACTACTAATACTTCTATTCTACGGTCTGGTCCTTTCACCCATTGAATACGCTCTGGCCATCCTCACTGTCAGTGCTACCCAGATTGAAAGACTCGAAAAGGTGCAAAATGAAGCCATGCGCATTATTTTAGGATGTACAAGAGACACATCATGTGAAGCAATGAGGTATCTACTTGACTTTCCAACAATGAACCAAAGGATCAGAATGTGGAGGGCTCGGGCATACCTCAAAATATGTGCTGATAAGAAACACCCACTGCATCAAGCGCTTTTTAGTGAAAAGGGCGACAGACTGAAGAGGGGAAAATCGTGGCTAGGTCGGGCAGAAGATGTTATTAGGCAAATATGCAGCCTAACCGACATCATACCTGGTGCAGAATGGATACCTGTGCCTCAGGCGTTTATTTGTACATTTTCCTGTATTGTCACACTCAACAGGCGATGTAGAGAAGAGAATCCTGTTGCTGTTAATGCAGAGGTCAACGCTCTCATCGGTGAAAATTCAGACGAAGCAGATGCACTAATCTACACAGACGGATCCGTTATACGCCAAAGAAGAAGCGCATGGGCATTTACAGCACGCTCAGCGGACAGAACAGTCAAAGAAGCCAACGGTGCCTTCTCCATGACAACCAGCAGCATGACGATGGAGGTGATGGCAGTGACGCAAGCGTTTGCCTGTCTTGAAACACAAAAATACACCCGCATATGTATACTCAGTGATTCAATGAGTATGATCCGGAGGGTTCAGGCAGGTTCAGTGCGAAGACAATGCCTTGAATCATTACAGAAGTCCACTGTGCGTGGAGTCACCTTTATTTTTGTTCCGGGACACGCAGGCGTCGATGGAAATGAAAGAGCTGACAGGTTGGCTGGATCCGCTATCACTACCGACGGTCGGCCTATGGATCATGCTGATATTATCAATGCCCTCAGAGAAATGGGAAGGATAGAGGACTTTGGTGGCAGTGAATCCACATCACTCGCCAGAATGGCAGACTTGGGAATTAAGATCGGCACAGCAAAAAAACGAGACGCACACAGGACACGTCAGAAGACTTGTTAATCAACATAGAACTGGTACTATTAGCCATCGGACGTTGGGGTTCATACTGAGGGGAGGATCTGAGCACCTATGGACATGTCCGGAGTGCAATGACGATAACCCAACTAACTAACTAACTATCTGAGCAGTTTAGAAGTCACTGCTCACTGTGCTCACACAGACACATCTCTTCATAAATATCAGAGGACACTATAACACTATTTATTCTCCAGGACGACTTAATAATGTTCAAAAGAGGAAACAATTGTCCAGAAAAAATAGGTCATTTTACTACACTATCGTCAATCAATACCTAAGTATTGATTGCTCTTTGTGATCTTTATGGTACTAAGCCATTTTTATTATATAACATTTGTATCTTGTTTTCTTGATAAATTATTACTGTAGCTTATATCTCCTCGAGGGGTCCACTGTTATAACAAGTTTCAAATAGGACAATCAGCATCTGTAGTTTTCAGAAATAAAAGAAAGGACAACCTGCCCACGGTATTACACTCCTAGAAGTGGTCACGTGACCGGAAGATAAAGCAAAGGGAAACAACTGGGAGAACGGAGCAGCCAACAATTACTCCTGTCTGTACTCACTCACTGTGGGTATCATGGAGTAGAATTTTTACGTTATCTGTCTGGTTTTGTTTTACACTTGTACCTGTTTGCTGAGTGATGGAAGTGGATTACTTATCTGTGAATTCATGAAGGTAAATTATAATTGAGTATCTTAAATATAGATCCTGTTTATGTTAGATTAAATCTTTCTTTGTTAACTTAATTATTTTGATATTTAAATTATTTATCTTAGTTTTGGTGGTTCCGTTCTTTATACTAAGATTGTTACATTGTAGAATATTTATATTTATACTACACGATAAAACAGAGATTAATGGTTAGCTTCTCAAGATTGCAGTAACAGATGATGTTGCAGCGCAACAAACTTAAAAAAATCTGCACAAACAACAAGTGGTAAAAAAAGGCTTCTTCTTATGCATTTGGGAAACGGTACGTTAAAGTTAAAGCATAATGATTATGATAATCCTTAATAATATAATAATATTAATAATAATGATTAATGGTGTGACTGTGATATGTACTATAAGTATAAACGGTGTTGACTTTGTTTCATCATAAAATAAAACGTATAATTTATGTTCACCTCCACACTCAGAAAATGGATTTTTTCATCACAGATAGTAGTAAATTATAAATTGTTGCTGTCGGATATAATTTCAGATATAATTATACTATAACTTTAACATATCCAGCACACAGATTATACAGGGCACATAAACGTAAATAATAATAATTACAAAATTCCTCCTACCTTTGAAAATTAACAGGCTGCTCTGTGAAAACACACCTTGTTCTCAAGTTCAGCCCTTCTCATATTAAAAAAAAAAAAACATACTTGCATCTTTAAGTACTTGAGTTGTGATAACAGCAGATGGCTGTGTAATATCATCTTTGGATAGACTTGTCTACTAATGGTATTCAGCATGGACTATAGTCTATAACTATAAGTAAATATTATCTAATATTATCAAGCAGATTGATTTGATTTGATTCAAGAACTGACATCACAGCACTCGGGGCATTCCCATAAGCACTCCGTCCCCATCTTCAGCAGCCAACGAAGAGTTCTGATACTTATGGTGCCAGCAGCATTCTGATTAAACGTCCGTCTTGCCTTTCCTCTGAATCTCGAGCATCTGCCAGAACCTCTTGTCACCCCCCCCCCCCTCTCCTGCATCAATCTCACCAGACTGGTGATCCATCTACTCCCCCGAACTGTACATGCTCTTCACAAGGCACTAACCACGTCGGCCTTATCATTCATCAGTATTACACCAAGTTGTGCAGAGCCAGCCAGTCTGTCCGTCTGTTCATTTCTTAACACACCTGCATACCCCAGTGAAAAAATCCGGACAATGCTCCTCACCCCTGTCCTCCGCAGCGAAGCATGCCACTCTGCACGAAGCATGCCTGTTCTGATCTTCCTCAGCAGGCTTTCTGAGTCAGTTGCTATTATGTTGTGTGTGTGTGTCATGTTCTCTAACCAGCGGAAAGCTGCAGTAACCGCCTCCACCTCCATTCTTAAGCTAGATGTTGTGGTATCATATTCTAGGCTCTCCTGCACCAAACGTCCACCAATAACTTTTGCTAAGAAACCCTAAGCACTTCTTTTGCCTCTTGACACTGAACCATCTGTATAAATGATCACATCCTCAGAGTGAGCATTATCTTGAAATTATTGCTGAATTTCCACTTCCGTGGCACCTGCTGGCCAGTCTCTGCAATGCCGGCTCAGTGTGATTATGACCCTACACAAGTCTGACTGTTCAGATGGCACTTTGACCCACTCCTTTCCTCGCCTAATGTTCTCAAGGATGCAGACCTGTCTGATTGTGTCTCCGCCTGAGTCATCCATGACTTTCCTCTTACAGCTGCTGACCCTTAACTGTACCCAGAGCTTCGTGCAAAGGGTGATTTGTGTCTGCAGCTACCATGATATATGACCTCGCCTGCAGCACCTTGTCCCTACCTGCAACAGTAGGCAAACCAAGGATGTATCGCATGCACACCACTGGGGTGTCTCTGGTGCAACCTAGAATGACTCTGCACCAAACGTCAATTATTAACTTTTGCTAAGAAACCCCAAACACTTCTCTCATAAAGCGGATGAGATTTTGAAAAAGGGGGAGTGGCATGGGGGATTAAAGAATATAAAAAGTAATGACAACAAAGAACTAGATGGTAGTAGAGAGACAAAGAATAAGAACTAGAATATGGAGGCACTGACAGGGAAAGACATGCAAATGATAAATTACTGAATTAACTTAGAAAAGGTTAATAACATTTTTGTTTCACCATCCTATTTTCTTGCTTCTAAACATTTTTAATTCAGTTTATTCATTGTCTATTTTCATAACCATACAAACAATACAACTCGCTAGATGTACCTAAGCATTTTGTCTCGGAAACTGAAATGTTTTGTTCACATCAAGCACCATGTTTGATTAGAAATAAAAAAAATAATAACAGAAAAGTATTTTGTCAGGAAGAAGGGGCGGTCTGACCAACACGAAGATGGGCACAGGATATAAGTGACTCCTTGAATATAAAGATATACAAGATGGGAGAGCTGGCGAGAGACTGAGTTTCTGCAAAGGACCTGCTATACAATGATAATGAGATGTACCTATGAAGGATTCTTTTCTGTAGATCAGGTTGTATATTCTCTAAAGTTAAGATTTTGTCTTTTATAAATTCCTTCTTTATCATTGCTGTTTATTAGATTCTGATTTTGTCTTTCCCGTAGTGTTATTATTTTAACTCTTTCAGACCCAAACTACTATTCTTTTTGAAGCAGACCTCCTTGTTATTAGAAGATCATATTACAGCTTCCAGAGACAGAAAGAGTTATCACGCAATGGTCATTTTTGAGTCCATGCACATATCACTTATTGTTTTTTTTCCTAACAGTATTTACTGCCATATACGATGTCTTCTTCTTCTTCTTCACTTCCTCTTTTACCGCTGTGGGTGTCGAGGGAGATATAAGGTTCTGTTTCTAGCTCTTCTGGCTGCCTCGACCATAGGCACATCGTGCTGTTGTAGAGTTTCTCTGATGTTATCCTTCCATATTGTTCTTGGTCTACCTCGTGCTCTACGTCCTTCTTCTCTTTCCAATATATATGATGTAAAATTATGAAAAAGAAGAAGCAACAATAGCAGTGAATAATAAGAATGGAAACAGATATTCTGTTAAAATTGATGCTGCATTTTAAAATATCTTTCTTTCATTTCATATTTCTAAGACTTTATGGTCATTTTCTGAACAGGGAAGATAGAACAGATGTGTATCAGGTCATATAATATGTGGAGTCTTCTTTGGTTCTTCATCCTTCTACCTAAAGGCATTGAAGGTGAGTTAATTTTGTGTGTTTTGTTTTGGTAAAGTTGTTTTAATCATGAATCTATTTAAGAACGAGTTGAGTAAGTTGAGTTGAGTCAAGAATCAACATGACAGCACTCGGGACATTCCCATGCAGGCTCTGTCCTCATCTTCAGCACCCAGTGCAGAGTTCCAGTACTGATGGTACCGGTCACAATCTGGTTATATGTCCGTCTTGCCTTTCCTTGAGTGTAGTGAGCCGACCAGTCCCTCTGGTTACACTCAGGTGCTTCATTCTCTCCAGGCCATAATAATCTTCTTTCTCTACTGGTTCCGTTGCTTGTTCCCAAAGGGTCTTGACCACACCTGCCTTGTTATGTATCAGTTAACCACCCAGTGGTACAGATTCAGACAGTCTGTCTGACTGTTCATTACCCACCACGCCGGCATTGCCCGGAGAAAAGATCCAAAGTATGCTCACTAACCATGACCTTCCCAATTGAGTTGAGTTGGGGTTTAAAGACCTATTTTATTTAGGCCAGTCGGCACTTGGTGGATGAAATCATCAACTCAACACGGGCCTTTACTTCCAAGGACATTTTCTGGAGCCCATTTTTATGCTCAGCTGACCTTCTTCTTCTTCTTTCGTTTGCCTGAAATAAGTTGTCTATATCAGCAGTTTTGTCTCTTGTATAAATTTCACTGTCGTTGTTAGTTCATTCAGTGGTCCATAGAGTTTACGCTCCACTGTTGTTCTTTCTGGCCAAAAGGTTTGCCTTAATGTGTCGAATTCGGTGCAGTCCTGAAGTACATGCTCTGCGTTCTGGGGCACCTTTCCACAGGTGCACGTGGCTGATATACCTATCTTGAATTTTGTGTACATGTGGTTACGTAATCGGTTGTGTCCTGTTCTGAGGTGGAGGATAATGACTTGTTCTGGTCTGTCCAAAATAGTTGACCTGGGAGACTAGGTAAATTTTGAAGAAAAAAAAACTAATTTGAGCCCTTGATTTGAAACAGTAAACTCTTATGATTCTGCTTTGGTCTTCTCATTTGTATCAATGCCAACCCCTTGCTCACTTACCTTCAAGTTTTCCCCCCAGTGTAATTTTTTATAAAATTCATGTCTGACCAGAATATTCCAAGTCTGCGGAACCTCAGTGATAATTTTTGTTTTCATAAAGCATGGCCTAATCCGTCTATTAGATTATTGATTTAAGAATCAACATCATAGTACACCAGGCAAATCCATAGATGCTCCCTCTCTCACAGCAAATGTCTTTAAGGTGTAGATACTGACTGCTACCTCAGCACACTGATTATACACAAGTCATTCTCTTCCTCTCATACATCGCTCCTTGTCTGATCCACACTTAATGTCTCATTCACACATTCTTGCACATGTAATTTCAACTAACCTTGAGTCTTCTATCCGCATTCATTCATAAATGGTGTTCAAAATATCTTCGACTACTTTGTCTATCCTCAACTCAAGATTCTTTTTGACTTTCTAAATGCTTGTTCTTATCCATATTTCCATACCATATAGAAGAATTTAGACATTTGAGAATTCTGTCTTTTTTTTTTCCTTATCTATATTTATAGTTTTAAAACTCTTCTTTCAGCTCAAGTTACATCCCAAGAACTCTTGAAAACAGCAGGAGAGAATGTTACACTAGACTGTCCACAGCTAGAAGACAGTGATCAGTTTAATAGTATTATTTGGTATAAAAATTTAACTCCTTTCATCAAGATTGGGAAGAATCAGCATGTAGAATATACCCCCAGCAGCTTGGCACAGAAGGTAAGATTAGGATTATGTTTGTTAATCAAGTCAAACACATTGTCAGCTTTTAACAAGTCGGTCAAATTGTTGTCAGCTTTTAGGATGTCAGATAACTTGTTATTAGGTATAATTAACTTGACTATTTAAGGAGCAATGTAGGTACTGACAGATATATAGATATGTGTGTGTGCGTGAGTGTGTGTGTGAGAGAGATAATACAAAAGGAAAGAGCTTTCATTAAGTACTGGGACATTTGTGGAAGTCAAAAGAAATTAATCCTGTCGCTCTTGGAACCCCTAAACCAGACTTTTCCATCGGTGCCAAACCCCCTTACATTTCCTTTAAAAAAAGGCTTGTCTGTAGTGGCTTTTTCCAGAAAAGCATAGTTTACTTTGATTGTTCTGTTCATGCCTGCGCAGTGTTTAGGAGGTCTGGATATGAACACAGTTACTAAACTCTTGTGATCCAAATGGCTTTTTTTTAAAGCCAAGTCGACACCTAATTTTTCCATAAGCCTCAGTAATAGAGGTCATAGGGTCACAGCATGAGTCACTTTTTTTAGGACGCAGAAAATGTATTCATTTTAATGCTTCTCTATTCACATTTATTGATTATTCCCTTTGTAAATCTTTGTGTATTTTAAAATGAAAATTTTGTAAATGTAGATTAGTAATTTTTTACAAAAAGTATAGTATAAATGACTGATTTATTTTTGTGGGAATTTCCACAGGGTCATGGCCTTTTTGTTATTGTTGTTTGTTTGTTGTTTGTTTAAGCATTCAAGTGGTGAAGGGCTTAATTCTAGTACCAAACTTTGACTGTTTAACTATAACATCAAATAACCACTGCTGGTGGAACATAAACATGAATAATAATTAAAACAGTTATTAGTTAACTATAAATTAACATCAGAGAGATAAAAAAAAACCATTAGAAATGAGAAGTGTAATTGCAAACAAATAATTATTATAAACAAAATGTTAATGTAACAGTATTTTAACTATTTCAGTACCAAGCAGCATTCCATATATTGGTTGAATAATCCACACACAGCAATAATATTACAACTCCTTTTACACTCTTCTGTTAGTTTTATCTATGTTGTTACTTAATTCCCTTATGTGCAGCGGTTTTTATTGTTTAGACCCTGTTTCCCCCGTAAAGCCAAAAAAGGCCACGAACCCATGGGAAATTCTGAAAAAAAAATGCTGAAATGTGTTTTAAAAATTTTATATATATATTTAAAATACATTTCTGGCTAATCCCTGTTCTGTCACTTTGGCTGTGAACTAAATAATAGGAAGTGATTCAGCTCACTTCATCGTAACCTGTGTTTTTGGAACAATTGAGATCGTGGAATGTAGCAGGAAGAGACACCCATCAGCGGTCACAAAACGGTTAGGGCAGTGTTGACACTGAGGGAAAGGTCGGTTGAGTGGCTTCCTTTCAGGAATTGTACACAACCAGAAGTGTCGGTGGCGCAGCTTCTCTGGGTGTCAGGTTTCAGTCATTATGTTTTAAGTATTGTCATTAAACAGTACACAGTCTTTGGGAAATAATCTGCACTACTTGCCGGTGAATTGATACATGGTAAGCTAGATGTTATAAGGGTTCTTTTGGAATGAGTAAACCGTGTAGTGTGGCAAACAGATCATTATGGTCTGGGGAGAATGGTGCTGCGGGGGGGGGGGGGGGGGGACCAGAAGATCTAGCTGATACTCAACACTGAAGAAAAAGGCAAGGTGGATATACAATCAGACTGCTACTGGCAGGTGGAACTCTGCGCTTGCTGCTGAAGATGGGGATAGAGCACTTGTAGGAATGTCCCTACTGCTGTGATATCGATTCTTTGTTCAGCATTCAGCATGGGATATAAATCATCATAATGTAGCAGGTCTTTTGCAGAAGGTTGCTCTCATCACGGTCTGCATGAAATAAACTCAGTCTCTTGCCAGTTCACCCGCCTCGTGTGCTTTCATATTCAAAGAATCACTTATATCCTGTACCCATCTTCATGTTAGTAGGCTTCTGCCTCTCCTTCCTGGTACCATGTCCTTGGCTATTATTTTTTTTCAAATCCGCCGCGGCGCTTGATATGACTAAAATATTTCAGCTTCCGAGACAGGATGCTGTTTATTAGCCAATCTTTCTTGATGCTCAGATCTTTTAAATTTTCAGTATTCTTCTCTTCTTTGTCTATGGCATTCTGAGGGATATAAATAATTACAGTATACAATTGCTTGCAACTAAAAGAGTTAATTCAAGTACAAAGACAATAATATTTACTAAACTCTAAATAAAATCATAATTCTCTCATCATTTCTGTGAACAGGTAACTGTGACAAAGAGTCACCAGATTATCTTGACCAGCCTGGAGTTTGTAGATTCAGGGGTGTATATATGCCAGATGTATGTGTTGAAAGATTTAAACTGGGAACCACGGAAAACAAGCCATAACTTGTTGGTCAAAGGTAACATGAGCTTTACAGTTTTTTCTTTTTTTGAAGCTAAGAAGACACAAACAATAGATTGCAAAATTTATTGCCAGGCGTATTTCACTGTATCACACTCGTTAGGTGCATACTACAGTAACAATTCACTAAAATTAAGCAAATAAATGAATCCATCGAACTGAAACACAAAATCTAGTATGCCTGTGTCTTCTTTGTTCAAATTCACAACAAGGTAAACATTGCTTTGTTTTACATTTTTTTTTTAACTGTATCCAGCAGTGAAATGCTTATGTGAGGATAAGCTCTACTTTGAGAAATAAAGCCAAAAAACGAGAAACTTAAGGGACTGCTTGAAAAGTATTCTTGATTTCAGTTCTCACTGCCTGCTTGCCTGGCCATCTGGCTGGCTGTCAGTCTGTGTGTCTAAAGTCCTGTAAACTATATGTCATTGGGTCACTGTGTTGCTGTTGCCTGATTGATCTTGTCTTTCTGTTTCTGGGAACCAGATATGCTGGGCTTGATGTTGTCACATTTGAGGTCATTCCAGTCTGTCACATTTTGGATTCAGTTCTTTCTTGACCTGCCTCTTCTCTTTCATTGTAGCAAGTTCTTTAATGTGATCTTCTAAAAGTCTATAGATCTGATTACCTGTCATAACCATTGCATTCTGCATCTTTTCACTGTTAAAGGGAATCAGTAATTATCTTATAAACTGAGTAATGATTTTGTGAACATCATCATATGTAATGTAGTTTCTATATGATATATCAAGGATCTCATTTCCACAGTTTGTATTTTCTTGTATAGTTTGTGCCCTAAGCTACATTTTAAGAAACATATGGAGTTAGAACATTAGTGTAAACTCTTGTGTAATGCTGAGCTACATTTTGAGAAACATAGAGTTAGAACATTAGTGTAAACTCTCTTGTTATCCTGAGCTACCTTTTGAGAAACATATAAAATTAGAACATTAGTGTAAACTCTGTTATGCTAAGCTACAATTTGAGAAACAAAGCTCCCTTTATGGGTTCAGTGACCGTAACAAGTAAGTCATAAAAAGACAATTAATTATAGATTTGCTGAAATTGGGGATGTAGGGCTGGCTGACTAGGCCAGATATGAGTCTAACTAAATTACAACACAAACTGCCTTTTTTAAATGGTGAATACAGAAGAAGAAGAGAAACAGTGGCACACATGTGAACTTATAGGACTGTTTGACAGGAAATGTTATGATTAAATTACTTGCTATCCTTTTTTATATCAGTCTGAATACTTCTGCCTTATTTATTCTATAACAGATTACAAGAAACGTTATGCTTCCAGCACTGCCAGCTTCAGCAGTAAAGCCAAACAGGTCTACACAAATTCCCATTTAGTTAGGCCGGTCTATGCTTACAGTTGTTGTCAAGTAAATTTATACATAAATAAAACTGCAGTTCAATTAACTTGCAACATATTTTATTGAATATTTTATTATTATTTTATTTTCTAATGGCTCACTTCTTTATCTTTATAATGATAATTCATACAATAAAATATGTTGCAAGTTAAATTAAACTGTAGTTTAATTTGTGTATAAATTGACTTGATAACAATGGTGAGCACAGACCGGCTGTGGACCGGCCTAACAAAACGGGAACTTCCGTAGACCTGTTCAAGCCTTACTGCTGGATCTGGCTGTGCTTTCAGCTAGCATTAGTTCAGATGTTGCCCTTAAAATGTTTGCATTTAGCATTATAATTATTCCTCCACTTTTGCATCTGCAGCTATTGAATCTTCTCACTGATAGTCTCACACTCCTACATACCTCAGACAGTATATCCATTTAAGCCCCTGTAGCTTAGAAGTGTTAATGTGTTGCCTCATCTGTCCATTGGGAATTTTCTTGCTTGTGTACTATTGGGTGCTAAACAACAAATGAGAAGTAATCTACTAAAGAAACCTCTTTTATTATTTTTGCTTCTCAAAGACCTGCTATCTATTCTCTAATGTTGGGTCAATCACAAGGCAATATCAGTCATAAAACTTTCCCCCCAAGTGAGAACTGACATTGAGATAAAAATATGACTAGCATTTCTTTATTTAGTAAATCTAATTTCTGTAGTACTTTTTCTATCCTTCATTTTTCTTTTGATGATGTCTTTAATGGTACATAAATATGTAAAATATGTCGTTTTACATAAATACAGTTTGCATTATGGTTTTGTATGACAAACATTTATTTCTGACAGACGTACCGAGTGCACCTGGCAAACCAGTAGTGAAGAATGTAAAGTCCAGGCAAGCAGAGATCACATGGTTGCCAGCAAGTCCTAACAATAGTCCTGTCTTGTATTATAATGTCAGTATCAGGTAAGCTGTTCCCCCCTCCCCCTCAATAACTATTAGGCTTGTTTTCTGTCATCGTCATTAACTTCCACTTTTGCCGTTAAACATCATAGGAAGGAACAGTTTGCAGTCCAGTGCACTACCCATTATTATCTTGTGGGGATGTATAATGTCTTTGATATTATCAATCTGTTTTGTCCTTGTATGCTTTTTTGCTGTCTTATCGGATTTGTCTTAATATAGTTCCACTGCTGATAGTTGATGTGGCTGCATTCTAACAAGATGACCAAACCATTTCATCTTTTGATTTTAAGTAAATAAAGCCTGCTTATAAAGGATTTGCTAAAATTGGGCAACAGGTTATAATGCAGAGATTATGAAGAAAACTAGTCACATTCCAGTGACTCAGTTGTGAAAAAACAACACTGGTGCTTGATAAAACATACACTGAAAATAGTAATAGTATGAAGTCCTTTCCCTGAAACTCACTAGGCCAAAAAAAATAGGAGAAAGCCTAAAAACACATAGAAAAACGAAGAAAAAATAACAGAGGTTATGGTTTGCCTTCTCATATGGTTACCTTTTAGGTCTGAATCCTTATTCCAGTGAAGCCATTTATCTAAGCCATCGATGCACTTTAAACAAAATTTTTTTTTACCTAATGTATATGCTTAAACTAATTCAGGCTATGTTCGTCAGACATGAATAGATTATATCATTAAGCACTTGGCAAATGGCCCACCTAACCTTCTTTGTGCTGGATCATGACAGTGAGCGCACAGATGATTTTGCAGACAGTGCAGTTGCTATGGTTGGTCTGGTACTAGACTGAAGTGCTGTAATCAGTGCCATATACACAGGTAGATGAATACAGCAAATGGCATGATCCTTGTCCAAGCTGAGGGACATGGGGGTGCAGCCTGAAGCTGCAGGAAATGAATATTTCACCAAGGAGACATAATGTTTTATTGAATAAAACATTATAAGCGTCATCAGTTATTATATGCTTTTAAAGAGGAGATTGAAGCACCTGTGTATCTGCCTGGAGTTCTGTGACGATAAACCTCACTAATTACTGATCTTTTTGTCTTCTATTTCCCTTTTTCCCCCCCATTGTGTCACTATTTATCAATTATACATTAGGGGATCTGGCCTACGCTCAACACTAAGGGGAAGGGTGAGACGGATATATATACAGACTGTTACTGGTGCCATTGGAATTGAAACTATTCGCTTGCTGCTGAAGATGGGGATGGAGCACTTATGGGAGTGTTCCAAGTGCTGTGATGTCGATTCTTAATTCAACATTCAACAATTATATATATAATTAACAAAGAGATAATGTAGCCTGGAGAGAATGAGGCATCTGGGTATAGCCAGAGGGTCTGGCTGGCTCACTGCACTCAGAGGAAAGGCAAGACAGACATATAACCAGATTGTGACCAGTACCATCAGTATTGGAACTCTGCGCTGGCTGCTGAAGATGAGGAAAGAGCATGCATGGGAATGTCCTGAGTGCTGTGATGTCACTTCTTGACTCAACACAGAGACAATGTATTGATCAGCATTCATAGAAAGAAGCAGAAAGACAGAAGAACACACTCTTCTTCTTTTTTTTTTCCCTACTCCTAGAATCCCTCGCGGCGTCAGGGGAGGAAGAGATCTCTAGAACGGGCCCTTCTGTTCTCTTCGTATAGTACTTTTCAATGTCTCTGATCTTTCTGCAGTCCATATTCTGCATGGTTGACCTCATGGTCTGTTACCATTATATCAGTATAACATTGCTCTCTGTGGTGCCCGGTCTGATGCCAATCTTGTTACATGGCCAAACCATTTGATTTGTTGTCTACCTATAAAGTTTGGTATTGGTTCTCTGCCGATTCTTCTCTTGATATCATAATTCCTAAGTAGACACCAGACAACATAAAAACGAAAGCTATAGTTACAGTGCTGGAAATTGGGAATGACAGTTATCAGTTAGTTTGACAGTTCATTTATTTTTATAAAATGTGGAAGTGATAGTTTTTGTAAACAGGCTACATGATTTTGGACATCATCATATATTGTTTAAAAAAAAAAACACCACCTTATAATAGAATACCTGGCAAGTCCTTTTACCTAAAAATAAATAATAGGCAAAATAAATAGAAGGGAGATTTAAAAATGCATTGAAGGAAAAAGGAATTACAGAGTTCATGTTTTGTCGCCTCATGTGGTTACCACTTTAGGTCTATGTACTTGTTTCAGTTATGTCTTTTTGTCTTATTTTTTGCTCTCTTTCCATCACATTTACCAGTTTTCATTAAGTTTTCAAGTTATTTCTTCTCATAACATGTGTAAATGACCACTTTTGTGAATTGGCTGCATTATGTTCTAATGGAACTGTTTTGCTTAAACAGGGAGTGTGAGACCAGTAATACAAGAAATGAAGCAACATGGAACAATTCCACAATGATCACAGTACAGGGTCTACTGCCTTACACATGTTATATAGCCACTGTGGCAGCCATCAGTGTGGTTGGACAAGGTATGTCCAGTGAAGCAAGCAATCAGTTTGTCACTGTAGAAGAAGGTAAGTTTTCTATGCTATGTCTTAGGGCAATATTATTTTGTGTTTTTATTTGAATGTTTATTCATTAATTTCCTTGATCCTCTTCATGTCAGTTTTGACATATAAGGCGTTCATTCACTTGTGATTTCCATTGCTGTCGGTCCCTCTGTCTGGCTAGTTTCACTACTTTCCGCCAGTGCAATGCTTTCACTTGACTTGGTTTCCGTTGCATTGTAGTTTTTTAACAGTAATGGGTTGTCACCTCCTAATCCAACCCACAACTTCCAGGACAAAAGTGCTTTTTTGGTCTGGCACTTCTTCGCAATACCTGTGTGACGTTGTTAAACCTGTTAGGGGCACATTTTACCGCCGGTATAGTTCTGAGAATCATTTTTGCTCATTCAGTATTTGGGGAAAAAGGGGGGGGGGGGGTTGTGCCTGCAGTATTTTCATCTGTCAGCTGACACATCTGGTTTCTTCAGGCCGCTTCTTTCTTGGGTTAACCTGAGTCGTTAGTTTCTTGGCACATTGCACAGCCTCATTATAGTGTTGTCAACATTAAGCCTTTATCTGCATGGGGTAGTTGATTTGCATAACACTGTTGTGTTTTATTCCAATATTTATTCCCTTCTTACTTTCAAATGAAAACTTTGTCATAGTGATATTTTTGGGGGGAAACATTTTAATCTTAATTTATCCTGTTCTGTAATAATTATTTTTGCTTGTTTATTTAGTTTTGTTAATGTTATATTCATATAGGATTTCAGTTTTACGTGTTTTCATTCAGAGAAATCCATCTGAACAATTAAAATGTTATCATTGGTCTTAGCTCTTAGTTATTGTAATTTTTTTTTTTTATAAACCATTGGCAGTGTTCTTTTGGGATTTGGTCTTGTTCATAGTTCCATTAGAAACTGTGGTTGTAACTGTTCATTTGTTGTAATTATACATACTGACTTGTTCTTTGTAAGTTGCATTGTTCTTTGATGTTTAAGTTACTCACAAAAGCTGTTCTATATTGTTTTATTTATACATTTGTGTTCTGTGTTTCTGTTATAAACATTGAGTTGTTCTGTATTGGTTTTTGTTATTTATACACATTGAATTCCAGTTGCTGTATATTGTTAGTTAGTTAGTGGACAGATTTTCTTCATTGCATATCGAACCATTCAGTCCATAAGTGCTCAGATCCTATCTTCAGTATCTCCCTCAGCGTGTAGTGGTTTCTGACACCTGCTATATGTTGTATGTTTTTTAAGTTCAGACTGAGTTGTTCATAAATGTTTGTAATTTATATACATTGATATATTGTTTATTGATTTACCTATTAATTTTATATATATATATATCAAGTTTTGCACTTTGTTCTGTTGAAATAATTAAGAATTTAACCTTGTATGTACAGTAAAATAACGTCATATTTCATAGAAACAATAACAGTCAAAAACATGATTTAGAAGAGACTGAATAAACAGAGAGATGCTGAAAGAAAGAAATAAGATATGACTGAAATTTTCTGACCACATTAAAAGACATAACACTCTGTTAAAAGAGGTAGAAAATGATACAATTGGGATGACAACATCAAGGAATGGACAGACAACAATATGAAAGAGTATACAACCAAGGCTAAAGACAGAGAGTGTTGGAGATCCATTGCATACAGCTTTTATTGGGATGATAACAATGGATTGATTGAAGAATTAAACCAAGGAAAGATTACAGGATTCTAACTAGAGATGTTAAACCTTCTGATGATGAATCCCTTTTTTGCACGATATTCAGAGCCAACTCATTTATTTTTCCACTATTAAAATTCAAACACTTTTTGTAAATACTTGCTTAGCTTTTAACATTTTATTTTTATTTTGTTGGCCTGTGGCTTAGGCTTTGCGAATCCGCTTTGTAAATCAGAAGCATGGGGTTTGATTCCATCTGTGTTCTGTGCAATAGCAGGCTGTGTTGCATTGATTTTGACAGAACAATCAAGAGCTTACCGTTCAGAAATTAGGGCAGAAATTAGGGGCAGACTACCAAAAGTAAAATGACCTAGTAAAACTAGAGCAGCCAACGAACAATAGGCTGGATTTAAAAAAAGAAATGTTCATTTAAAGCATTTCATATATTGATCGTAAAAGTAAAGGACCTTTTTCCACGTCTGTCAGGCGTATTGGGTATATAGGGCTAGGCCTATATTTTATAGACCAACGGCACAAGATGAGTGATGTGGTCAGCATCATGCCTGCCACCTTTACTTCCCAGGTCTGCACCTGGTACCCACTCAAGGCTGGGTCGACCTGGAAGCCAAGGCCATTTAAAAAAAAGTCTAGCTCCACAAGGGAGCGAACCCATGACCTTCAAATCCACAGGCAAGCATCTAGCCGCTACGCCACAGCGACTCCCATATATTGATCATAGAAAGTGAAAATCATGAGTTTGTGCAGATATTTAGATTATTTAATTGCAGTTCTTCAGAATAAATATTTTATTTGTATATGTCACTCGCTAAATGTTGATTGGACTGTTTGTTTTTTCTACTTTGCTAACCATGGAAGATGGTAATAATATGACCATTATTATTGACTGTGAGTAGATGCTGCCTTTTTATCTTATTTTATGTCATTTTATGTTGAAAAGTTACAGTTATTAGACATTTGCAGTTAATTTAGAAAGTAACAGCTCATTTGATTGTACTTAAGTATTAAATTAGTCCTTGAAAATACAAGGGGAATTCAATAAGTAAGTCACAAATGGTTATGGGGTGGCAGGAAAATATAGTTGGTGGTTTCTAAAGGTGTCATTGGGTCACTGCAGCATCAAACTTTATATCTCCGTTCGCTAAGTGTTGCATGTGCATTCGTAACACAGAAACAGAATGGCAACTGTACTTAAGGAGGTACCACGGAAGAACTACGTGCTGTTGTGCCGTGTTTTTTTGGGGGGGGGGGAATCGCAAAAGGGCTGCCTTCAAAGGACATTTATAAGGAAATGCTTCCTGTTGATGCTGACAAATGTTTATCCCATAAAGCGGTGCATAGCTAAGCAAAAAAAGTTTTATTATTGGCGCTCTAGTATTTATTCATGGCCGTTTAGCGCCATGGGGAGGAATAATTTGCAATTCAGTGCATGCTGGCTGACGCTGGCTAATATCATGCCATGAATACGTAAGGTGTCTTTAATGTTGTAGATCCTTTTTTTTTTTCGGCGGCCATCTTCCAGCTTTTGTAGCTGATCTTCTGAGATGTAGTGCCTATGGTGGTTTTTTGATCTTTCTGCTTGATCTGCTGTTTCTCGATGAATCTAGTGCAAGGTGTCATTCCCACAATCTGTCTAATATTCATTCAATCTTGGGTGACTAGTTTGGCAGCTTTTCTCAGGCATCTCATCTCGCAAGTGGTAATTTTGCTTACACGGGCTTTAGGTAAAGATAGTTAATACACATTAGTGATTGCATCGTGTGAACACTCATACAGGTAAGATCGAGGCATGTCATAAGTGTTATAAAAATTTACCTGGACTCTCGAGTTGACACGCTTAAAAATGATACCAGAAATGACATGATATTATTTTTATTTAACTATAAATGGCCTAGTGTGAGTTGGTTGTAGGCCAGTGCTGCATCAAGAGATGAAAGAAGTCACAAATATATGTAGTCATATTTTTATTTTTATTTATCCGTATGCTACATCTTATCTGACACATGAAGTAAAGATAGAAAATACACATTAATGATTGTATCGTGTAAACACTCAAACAGTTAACACAACACTGGTTGATTCAGTAACCCAAGCAGTGAATTTCCTGCTACTCCGTAAGTTTCTCCTCATTGCCCATGGTAACAGTGATGTTGTAACTGTGTTATGTATTGTGACACTGACAGTCTCAGGCACTGAATACTTGTTGTGGTGCATGATGTGTTTGTGATTTTGTCTGAAATAATTACCACATTAAAAGACCAGACACAATTTTTTTTAAACCATTGTTGTTGTAATCTTTAAATAAATTCCTGTGCTTTGATTTCTCAAGCTGTTGTCTGGTACATATGATTTTGACAAGCTTTTTTTTCTTTCACGTTTTCTCTTTCTAGTCTTTAACTGTTAGCAGTCTACCCAATAGGCAGCATGTATGTTGCTCACTTCATCTAGTACTTGAGCCTTGACCAGCCTGAAAATGGAAACCCTGTCGATGGCTATACTACTTTTAGTTAGTTAGTTAGGATTGTCCATAGGTGCCTAGATCCTTCCCTCAGTATGAACCCCAGCGCCCCGTGAGTAATATGCCAGTTTTGTTGTTAATTGATAAATCTTTTTGTATGCTTGGTGTGTTAGTATTGCTTTTGATATCATTAGGACACATGTGCCTCTCCACCACAGTAAGGTGGAGCATGTTATAAGGGTTATAGGTATTTACCTAAACTCAGATTCTACGTCTTCTCCTCCTTATTCTTCTTCTTCTTCATCTTCTGCTTCCTCTTTTTTATCTTCCTCTTCTTTGTTCACTGGCTGTAAGCTCTGGTGCAAAGTCCTGGTTGTCCATCCATTTAGACTTTGGCGATTGTGCTAGGGCCTGAGTTTTGTGTGTAGATCTGGTTACCAATCAGATCCCTTCCTTTAATGTTTATTGTATTCTAGACCAAGTAGTACAATCTGCAGTATCTGTAAATAGTTGCTGTTTTGTTATTTCACCTATGCTTGGTTAATATACATTTCTGTAACCTATGGTGCCATTTCAATGGCTTGAGATTGAATCTCTCCGTATTCCATAGTTGTGGATTTCAAGCTGTACGACAGACATGGCCAGTGAAGAAACCTTTTTTAAGGGTGCCTAGTTAGTCAAGTAACTTTGTACACTTGTTTCCATAGTGAGGCACACGTGCCATTTGGAGGTGACAGTTTCTATTCCCAGCATGGTAATTATGGTTTTCAGTTTTTATGTTGCCTAGTGTATCCTTCTATCTTTCTGCTTCTTTCTGTGAGTGCTGATCAATAAGTTGTCCGCTTGTTTATTATAAAATTTTTCTACGGCCTCAAGGGTTTCTCCTTGTTTTTTTGTGTGTGGCTTATTTGTGTGCAGTTGGTTGTTCTTTGCTGTTCGGGTAGATGCACTTCAAATTTTCTGGGAAGTAAAGGGGCTGACATTATATTGACCAAAACACCAAGTATCAGTTGGTCTGTAAACATATATGGCAAACATCATATTCCCAGTGCACCTCAAGGCATGGAAAACTGCCCTTTAACCACCACTTGTTGCTGTTTGTGAAGGGCACTTACTGGCACAGTGCAGGAAGTAGATTTTGGTGAATCTCTGTATAGAAGTCTTTGTTTTATTGTTTTGCTTGGAAATTTTTGTTGTCTCTACATGACTATTTCCTAACAAAATCTTCTCTTATCCTCTCTCTCCATACCATATATTAGACCCCTCCGCCTGGCATTTCATCACTGTTATAATTGTTAAACACTGAAATGGGTGGTGTGATGCTGACCACATCACCAACCAAGTGCTAATTGGTCTATAAAAAATAGTCCTGAAAGCCCAATACGCCAGAAGCCATGGAAAAGGGTCCTTTATTTTACTTTGCTTACTAGAAATGGGTGAAAATATGCAATCTGGGCAATTCCCCCATTGTAAATGGAAGGTCAGATGATTAACATAAGACTTTTGTGGTAACTTGTAACAACATAACAGTGTGATTTTTGTATTTCAGTTTTGTGCTTCATTGTCTGTTGATGTAAATTATGTAGCATAAGCATCCAATTAAGTACTGCAAAATATACCAGGCAGTAAATTTTGCAGTATATTGTTTGTGTCCTCATTATTTAAATTCATAATGGGAAAAAATTGTTTGGGGATTGTTATGTGTTTGTAGATTTTTGGCCATTATCTTCACCCGTGATGACATGGTCATGCATGTCTTAACAAGCTTTTCTTCTAAGCAAGGTGTTGAAGTCTGCTGACAGTGAAATACCTAACAAACTTAAGTTAACAATACCGACCTAGGTCACATTGGAGCTAGTCTTTGTGTGTCATGATGAATCATGATCTTGTTATATACTAATATATCTTTCCTCAGGTTATGAGTTAAGGTATCCTCACGGCACTCCGAAAACATCCACTGGTGCTCATAACACCACCCCCCCCCCCCCCCCTTACTGTATATACCAGAACCCCTTAGTGCCTCTCAAACCTAGCTGTAAAAGGTCCAGTCTTATCTCATCCCTTAGTACCTCTCAAACCTAACTGTTCTAGTCTTATCTCCCCCCTTAGTGCCTCGCAGACCTAGCTGTTCCAGTCTTATCTCCCCCTTAGTGCCTCTCAAACCTAGCCAATCCAGTCTTATCTCCCCCTTAGTGCCTCTCAAACCTAGCCAATCCAGTCTTATCTCCCCCTTAGTACCTCTCAAACCTAGCTGTTCCAGTCTTATCTCCCCCTTAGTGCCTCTCAAACCTAGCTGTTCCCGTCTTATCTCCCCCTTAGTGCCTCTCAAACCTAGCCAATCCAGTCTTATCTTTCCCTTAGTGCCTCGCAGACCTAGCTGTTCCAGTCTTATCTCCCCCTTAGTACCTCTCAAACCTAGCTGTTCCCGTCTTATCTCCCCCTTAGTGCCTCTCAAACCTAGCCAATCCAGTCTTATCTCCCCCCTTAGTGCCTCGCAGACCTAGCTGTTCCAGTCTTATCTCCCCCTTAGTGCCTCTCAAACCTAGCCAATCCAGTCTTATCTCCCCCTTAGTGCCTCTCAAACCTAGCCAATCCAGTCTTATCTCCCCCTTAGTACCTCTCAAACCTAGCTGTTCCAGTCTTATCTCCCCCTTAGTACCTCTCAAACCTAGCTGTTCCAGTCTTATCTCCCCCTTAGTGCCTCTCAAACCTAGCTGTTCCCGTCTTAGCTCCCCCTTAGTACCTCTCAAACCTAGCTGTTCCCGTCTTAGCTCCCCCTTAGTGCCTCTCAAACCTAGCTGTTCCAGTCTTAACTCCCCCTTAGTGCCTCTCAAACCTCACTGTTCAAGTCTTAACCCACCCACCCCCCCCCCCTTAGTGCCTCTCAAACCTAGCTGTTTCAGTCCTATCTCCCCCTTAGTGCCTCTCAAACCTAGCTGTTTCAGTCCTATCTCCCCCTTAGTGCCTCTCAAACCTAGCTGTTTCAGTCCTATCTCCCCCTTAGTGCCTCTCAAACCTAGCTGTAAAAGGTCCAGTCTTAACTCCCCCTTAGTGCCTCTCAAACCTAGCTGTTTCAGTCTTAACTCCCCCTTAGTGCCTCTCAAACCTAGCTGTTTCAGTCTTAACTCCCCCTTAGTGCCTCTCAAACCTACCTGTTCCAGTCTTAACTCCCCCTTAGTGCCTCTCAAACCTAGCTGTTCCAGTCTTAACTCCCCCTTAGTGCCTCTCAAACCTACCTGTTCCAGTCTTAACTCCCCCTTAGTGCCTCTCAAACCTACCTGTTCCAGTCTTAACTCCCCCTTAGTGCCTCTCAAACCTAGCTGTTCCAGTCTTAACTCCCCCTTAGTGCCTCTCAAACCTAGCTGTTCCAGTCTTATCTCCCCCTTAGTGCCTCTCAAACCTAGCTGTTCCAGTCTTATCTCCCCCTTAATGCCTCTCAAACCTAGCCAATCCAGTCTTATCTCCCCCTTAGTGCCTCTCAAACCTAGCCAATCCAGTCTTAACTCCCCCTTAGTGCCTCTCAAACCTAGCTGTTCCAGTCTTAACTCCCCCTTAGTGCCTCTCAAACCTAGCTGTTCCAGTCTTAACTCCCCCTTAGTGCCTCTCAAACCTAGCCAATCCAGTCTTATCTCCCCCTTAGTGCCTCTCAAACCTAGCCAATCCAGTCTTATCTCCCCCTTAGTGCCTCTCAAACCTAGCCAATCCAGTCTTATCTCCCCCTTAGTACCTCTCCAACCTAGCTGTTCCAGTCTTAACTCCCCTCTTAGTTCCTCTCAAACCTAGCTGTTCCAGTCTTAACTCCCCTCTTAGTTCCTCTCAAACCTAGCTGTTCCAGTCTTAACTCCCCTCTTAGTTCCTCTCAAACCTAGCTGTTCCAGTCTTAACTCCCCTCTTAGTTCCTCTCAAACCTAGCTGTTCCAGTCTTAACCCCCAATGCTTACATTCTTAGCAGCATTGTGGATGCACTGCCACCAAAATCCTCTCATCGTCCTCTCCCTCTAAGAGCAATCACAATGTCAGTGTGGATAGTCTTTCTCCAGATGTGAAGTTCCAGTGCCAGCATTGTCCGTATTTTTGTAAAAGAAAAAGAAAGCTCCTCAGAAATACACTCCCCACTGAGATGGTGGTTTGATACCCGGCCAGGAGAAAACTATTAAGCTTTACTGTGGCAGATGCAAGTCCTTTGCAGAGTTTAGACAATCTGGCTATCTCTGCACCCAACTTGAGAGTTTAAAACTCTTTCTTGGTTTTTGAGGATAAAAGACTGAAAATTGATCTGAAAAATTCATATTTTCCACAATTCTTGGTTGTGTAAACCTCATTGTATACTTCCATAAATATAGATGTTTACAACACACATATTTTATATTATATATAAGTGCTAAAAGAATTTTTCCAGCTGCATTTTAATTTTATGGACACTTAGTTGCATTTGCAGTCTTTAAATGACAAGCAGTCATTTCCTAACTTACTAGTTAATTGTATCCTTCTGTGATGGAAATAAATCATGTTGCCGTCTGTTCATATTTCAGTACAATCTTCTCTAATCATTTTTAATTTGATTATTTTCTGAATGAAATCTGTTTGAACTTAATTATAATCTTGTATAAGGATATATATTTGGAGGTTATCTTGAAGACAAACATTTGCAATTTTAATATAAAAAATGTTAATTAATGATAAATAATTTTAAGTGTAATCTAATGATATTTAATTGTAATGATCTCTTCTGATATATAATCTGTTGATATTTTAAGAATGAAACCTTTTTCTCATCTTCCTCTCTTCTTCACTTCATCTTTTACCCCTTCAAGTGTTGAGGAAGATGTAAAATTAGCTATGTGATCTTTTGTTTTTATTTACTATAATCCTTTGTGTTGGTATTTAATTTTTTTTTTTTTACCTTTAAACAGCAGAGGTTGAATTCAATTACACACCGATTTTGCAAATATGCTTTTACAATAAAAAGTGCTTTTAATTTCTTCAGCCCCGGCCGAAGCCCCACGTGATTTTAAACTGGTAAAAGTCTCTGACACTGAGATAGAGCTGGAGTGGAAAGCACCATCTAGTAACTTGCTGAATGGAAAACTGGAAGGTTTTGAAGTTGGATATGGGACTGCGTCTCAGGGCATGAGGAGTTTAAGCATTGAAGACCCTCAGAGGACTGTGAGTAGGAATAGTTATTTAATTACTGCTGGCAGTTGGTGTTTGTGAGTGTTTGTGATAGATGCAATGAGGGATGCAAGGAATTAAGGAGTGAGAAAAAGAGGGAATGAGAGTGCCAGTCTTTTTTTCTTCTTCTTCTTTTTCTTCTTCTTCTTCTTCTACTACTTCTTCTTCTTCTTCATCTTCATTATTGTCGTCTTTTCTTCTTCCTTTCATCTCTCAATGAAACATGAGTGATCAGTGAACGCATGTCAATCACGTTGCAGACTTCTTCATGACTGCATTTTGAAATATGTTTTCTATAGGATTCAGTAGCCAAATTGATGGTTGCCTTGTGGTTGATACCTTCAACCCCAGGACAGCATATTTTATGTGAAGGTTGCCTTCTCTTGATTTTACACAAATTGTAAACAATCTCCAATGGCTATGGAGAGGGCTCCTTTACATGACATGACTTCAAGCCTATTGTAAAAGTCTCTAATGAGTAAGGAAAGGGCTCCTTTACATGCCATGACTTCACTTCACGCCTACTGTAAATAGTCTTTTATGAGTTTCGTCACCCAGTTTCTGAGTTGAGTGCATGGTGTGACACTGTGAGCTACGAGTGTTTTTTCGTTGGCACAGGAGCGGAGCAACAATGGGGTGACCCGTTTGCTATGATGCTGAAACTAGGATTACCAGATTACCAGATGAGTAAGGAAAGGGCTCCTTTACATGCCATGCCTTCAAGCCTATTGTAAAAGTCTCTTATGAGTAAGGAAAGGGCTCCTTTACATGCCGTGACTTCACACATACTGTAAATAGTCTCTAATGAGTAAGGAAAGGGCTCCTTTACATGCCATGACTTCACGCCTACTGTAAATAGTCTCTTATGAGAAATAAAGGGCTCCTTTACAGGCCATGACTTCACACATACTGTAAATAGTCTCTAATGAGTAAGGAAAGGGCTCCTTTACATGCCATGACTTCACGCCTACTGTAAATAGTCTCCTATGAGTAAGGAAAGGGCTCCTTTACATGCCATGACTTCACGCCTACTGTAAATAGTCTCCTATGAGTAAGGAAAGGGCTCCTTTACATGCCATGACTTCACGCCTACTGTAAATAGTCTCTTATGAGAAATAAAGGGCTTCTTTACATGCCATGACTTCACACATACTGTAAATAGTCTCTAATGAGTAAGGAAAGGGCTCCTTTACATGCCATGACTTCAAGCCTATTGTAAAAGTCTCTTATGAGTAAGGAAAGGGCTCCTTTACATGCCATGACTTCACACATACTGTAAATAGTCTTTTATGAGTAAGGAAAGGGCTCCTTTACATGCCATGACTTCAAGCCTATTGTAAAAGTCTCTTATGAGTAAGGAAAGGGCTCCTTTACATGCCATGACTTCACGCCTACTGTAAATAGTCTCTAATGAGTAAGGAAAGGGCTCCTTTACATGCCATGACTTCACGCCTACTGTAAATAGTCTCTAATGTGTAAGGAAAGGGCTCCTTTGCATGACATGACTTCACACATACTGTAAATAGTCTCAAATGAGTAAGGAAAGGGCTCCTTTACATGCCATGACTTCACGCCTACTGTAAATAGTCTCTAATGAGTAAGGAAAGGGCTCCTTTACATGCCATGACTTCACGCCTATTGTAAATAGTCTCTAATGTGTAAGGAAAGGGCTCCTTTACATGACATGACTTCACACATACTGTAAATAGTCTCAAATGAGTAAGGAAAGGGCTCCTTTACATGCCATGACTTCACGCCTACTGTAAATAGTCTCTAATAAGTAAGGAAAGGGCTCCTTTACATGCCATGACTTCACGCCTATTGTAAATAGTCTCTAATGTGTAAGGAAAGGGCTCCTTTACATGCCATGACTTCACGCCTACTGTAAATAGTCTCTAATGTGTAAGGAAAGGGCTCCTTTACATGACATGACTTCACACATACTGTAAATAGTCTCTAATGAGTAAGGAAAGGGCTCCTTTACATGCAATGACTTCACGCCTACTGTAAATAGTTTCTAATGAGTAAGGAAAGGGCTCCTTTACATGCCATGACTTCACGCCTATTGTAAATAGTCTCTAATGTGTAAGGAAAGGGCTCCTTTACATGACATGACTTCACGCCTACTGTAAATAGTCTCTAATGTGTAAGGAAAGGGCTCCTTTACATGACATGACTTCACACATACTGTAAATAGTCTCTAATGTGTAAGGAAAGGGCTCCTTTACATGCCATGACTTCACGCCTACTGTAAATAGTCTCTAATGTGTAAGGAAAGGGCTCCTTTACATGCCATGACTTCACACATACTGTAAATAGTCTCTAATGTGTAAGGAAAGGGCTCCTTTACATGACATGACTTCACGCCTACTGTAAATAGTCTCAAATGAGTAAGGAAAGGTCTCCTTTACATTCCATGACTTCACGCCTACTGTAAATAGTCTCTAATGTGTAAGAAGATTATTCTTTTACATGTCATGAGGCTTTTTCGGTACATGTTACTAGCTGTAGAGCAGTTTGGTTTCACGTCATAGAAAAAGCTTTGCATCAGAAATGATTTACAGCGATTGTGACAGAAACTGGGGAAAGACATGATTACCAACTCCACATGCTGTGGACTATGATGTCGACAGTTTGCGCCATTTTAAAACATTCCTACTTCTCTCATACACTTGCTGGACTGACAGGCATGTATCGCCGTTCTGCTGGACCTTCATTCGCTGATGAATCTCTATATGTTTTGCCACTTCACTGATTGAAAAATAAATAAAAAATAGGCAACAGAACACTGTTTTTTTAAATTTATGTCAAAACTTGGATGGTCATCTTTAAACTGCCATAATGGTGCCGCCATGTCCATCTGCAGTTATGTCACCTGCTTAACACTCTTGACATCCTTAACAACATTATTGTCTGGTTACAGAACAGTGGCATGGTTAATGTAATTTCTATCACACTTTTAAGGCGTTTATGTGAGTCCCCCTTATAGAATATGATAGGAGATCATGAGAGAGAAATAAGGGATGGGGGAGAGAGAAATTTGTAGAGTAGGTGTAATGCTGAATTGTTTTCTTCTGCTGTTCTTCAGAAAACATTGCTGCAGGGACTGAAACCATTCACATTGTATATGGTATCTGTGAAAGCCAAGAATAAGGCAGGTGTTGGCCCTGAGGTGGTCATGGAAGTCAGAACTGATGAAGGACGTAAGTTTGCATCCATCTGTTTGCATGTGTCGGCCATGTTGTGCAACTTTTATTGGATGCTTTTAATACTTTAAACTTCTTCCTCTTCTGTCCTCTCACTTATATCAGCACACTGTCATGGTTTTTTTGTATTTGTCTTGCACTTCTCTGGTGGTTTTGGAGATGGATTTGTTCATTTTTTGTGAAGGCTTCTGCTACACCATTTATCCATCCCTTAGTCTTTCTCTCTCCTTCCTCCCAGATGTTCTGATGTAAAAAAAAAAAGTCTCATGTACAGTTTGGTCTGGCTGCATTCTCACTAGATGGCTGAACCATTTCATTCTTTGTCTGTCAATATAATTCAGACATAGAATGAAATGATTCAGCCATCTAGTGAGAATATACTTTGAACTGTACTGTTTTAATTGTAATTATTTCAGTCAGACAAGTTCATCCATACCATGATGCCAGACATCTTCTCACTTGATCACCCTCCGCCCCCCCCCCCCCCCCCCCAACTCAGCTTTCCGTTATCACAACATATTCTAGCTTTTCCCCTCTCATCCCAGTGAATGTTCATGGTTATCTTTTACTGCAGGCAGTCTTCCGACCATTTTTGTTGCACATTAAAAAAAAAAAAAAATTATTCTCAGATCTTTGCCACCAACATTAAGCTTTTCGGTATTCTGATCTTCATAGCTCACTTTATCAGTTTTTTTTTTAATGTGCTGACTTGTTCACTCAGTAAAAAAGAACAGTATGTTAACATGCTAACATATACACGGTTTTGGAAAAACATTCACATTATCTGATTTGACATTATCTGGCATTATATATGTTAATATATATGTTTATATATATATAATTTTCTGTTCATAGAATATTGTCACATATGAATGTTGATTTCTATTTATTACCTCTAAATCTCAGAAATACCACATCAGTAATCACATGTCAACATTGTTCTATTCCCATTTAATGTCTCTAAAGCCCAGAACTACCCACATACCCACATCATTAATTTCATGTTATCATTGTTTTACTCCTATTTAATGTCTCCAAAGACCAGAATTACCCACATCATTAACCACATGTCAGCATTTTTCTACTCTTATTTAGTGCCTCTAAAGCCCAGAATTACCCACATCAGTAACCACAAGTCAACCTCATTCTATGTGAATTGGGAACCTCCCAGAGAAATCAATGGGAGATTGATCAAGTATGAACTGCAGTGGATCAGCAATGGAGACATCAAGTCCAGATATATTGCTGGTCATCTCATTGACACCATGACAGCCTTCATCTCTGATTTAAGTATGACTTGGGTTTTTAAAAAAAAATTTTTAATTCCAAATTTTCTAAACAGTTAGTGATTTTTCCATAAGTATTGTTACTCTCTCCAGGATTGCAGGCTTGATCAGCATCTCGTGGATGAGATCCAAACAGAAGTTTCTTCTTCTACTCCTCCTCTTCCCTCTTATTTTTCTTCTTCTTCTTCTTCTTCTCCTTCTCCTCCTCCCTCTTCTTCTTCTTCCTATTATTATTATTATTATTATTATTATTATTATTCACCGGCTGTAAACTCTGGCAGAAAGTTCTGGTTGTTCATTCACTTCTGGACTTTGGTCTTATTCCAAAACTTGAATTTTGCTAGCACATCCATTGTGCAGACCTAGCGTATTTATATGCAGACTGTTGGTTCCTTGCCACTTAGGCAGATGCACTTCGATTTTTATCTGGTGCCTTACACAGAAGATTTATGTTTAGTTTTGTTTATCTATTGCCTCACACAGAGAACTTTTATGAATGACTGTTTATTTAGCACCTTACACAGAGAACATTTATGTGTGATTCTGTTTATCTAGCACCTTACACAGAGAACATTTATGTATGATTCTGTTTATCCAGCACCTTACACAGAGAACATTTATGTGTGATTCTGTTTGTCTAGCCCCTTATACAGAGAACATTTATGTGTGATTCTGTTTATCTAGCACCTTACACAGAGAACATTTATGTGTGATTTTGTTTATCTAGCCCCTTACACAGAACATTTATGTGTGATTCTGTTTATCTAGCACCTTACACAGAGAACATTTATGTATGATTCTGTTTATCCAGCACCTTACACAGAGAACATTTATGTATGATTCTGTTTATCTAGCCCCTTACACAGAGAACATTTATGTGTGATTCTGTTTATCTAGCCCCTTACACAGAGAACATCTCCTGAGATCTTGACAGAAACTGTACTTGTGTACACTAAATGTATCTGTGAAATGAACCCATGACCTTCACATGTGTGTGTGTGTGTTTTGTTACTATAGAGCTCAAACTTGGCCTGTAGCGATGTCAGTGACAGAGAAACAGGGACATGTGTAACGGTTGTCTGCTTAACTGGATCATGGAGGCAGTTAACGTCTTTGTGTAGACAAGATATTGGAGATACCTTACGCATGAAAATATATGAAGCAGATGAATTGGCAAAGACTGAGAAGCTTTCCTGCAGGGCATGATGGAAGCCACTGGGAAGACTTGATACAGTATAGCTAGAATGTCTTTGCACCAGAACCCACAGGGTCAGAGGAATAAAGGCAGACCAAACAGTACATGCAGACAGGAAGTAGAGAGTAATGTTTAAAATGGATTGAGAGATCACAGGGGGAACTGCATATGATAGTTAAAGATAGGATGACTAGGCAGGATTTTGTTATACTCCTTTGGGGATTAAAGGTAGACACGTGCACTGTCTTCAGAAGACAATAGGAAAATAGTCATGAAAGAAATTAAATTTTTACATTCTATGCTTGGTGAAACGAGGCAAGATCAACTTAGGAATAAGGATATCAGGAGGAGAGTCAGCACAGAACCAAAACTGAACTTTATAGGTAGACAACAAATCAAATGGTTTGGCCATGTAACAAGATTGGCATCAGACAGGGCATCACAGTGAGCATTGCTATACAATACTGTGGTAACAGAGCCAGAGGTTGGCCACGCAGAATATGGACCACAGAAATATCATAGACACTAAAAAGTACTTCGTATGAAGTAAACAGAAGGGCCAGTTCCATAGATCTCTTCCTGCCCTGAGATATTCCAGGAGTAGAGAAAAGAGTGATGGGAGCCAATTTCTGCAAAGGAGGACCTGCTGTATGATGATGATGAATCAGGTCCTGTGCAATACTTGTCTGGAAATAGAGTATCTCATTAAGGGCTTTGACCATCGTGGCCGTGTGATAGAAGTGACAGTCAGAGGTCAGGTCACACAGGTGGGTGTCGTTTCACAAATTAAACACAGTGCTTTAAGGTTAGGAGGTATCTAGAAAGATGAACAACACATCAGAAATGAGAATGGCTAAATGTTAAATATACTGAACCCTGTTGTACAGCGCAGGGACCTGGACAGTGAACAAGCAAAAAGAAAGTCCAGTTAAGTCTTTGTGGATATACAGAAGAAATTTTGTTTTCATGGGGGATGTCGGAAGATTATTTTGCATGGAAACATAAACAGTCAAATACAGAGGTCTTGAAAAAACTGGGAATGAAAAGAGAGTCGCTGAAGGAAAGGTGAAAGAGATGGCCACATTAAAATACATTCGCTGTCACTCTAGAACTTCTGTGTTGAAAGGTTTTGTTTTCATAAAAAATGACATATATTTCTGTATATTCACAGTTTCATTGGTAATTCTTTTTCTTGTTCTTCTTCTGCTTCTTCATTGGTCGTCTGTTTATTTGTTTGTCCATAACTGTTGTATCTGTTTACAGCAGAGCTGAGATATATGTGTATCTTTTGACCATCTGACTTTTTCAAGCCATTTATTGAGAATTATCAGATCATTATTAGATCGTAAAGACCATCCGTTCGCACACTTTAAACAAGGAAAGTGCATTTCAAATTGTTCACACGTCATCCAGTGACAGAGCGCTAAGATTTCTTGAAGCCACCACGATTCATTACCTCCATCCTGAAACTTGTAAACAATGGCGTGGTTGTGACCTTGCAGTTACCCTGGTAAAAGCAGGCAGTTGTTTTTTTAGTGTGGTGGAATTTGTACTTTAGTTATAAAGGATTAACTTTTTTGCTTCATTTATTCAGTTGTTACTGTAGAATGCACCTGACGACAATTGTTAGATCATAGTTCGTGCAGGATAATATATTTATATAAATTTATATATACATATATTTTCTTTCTGCAGCACACGCTGAAAAATCTGGCCTCCAACTCCCGCTACCATCTCAAAGTGGCAGCGATCACCAACGCCATTTTCAGCACTGACAAGTGGGTTGGGGACTTCACTGATACTGTGGTCATCAGTCTTGGAGGTGAGCATACTTCTTGCTTTATTTTACCGGTGTTGCTTGTTTTTGTGCAGCACTGTAGTCAGTTTGTTTGTATCAGGTCATCAAGTAATCGCTGTTCCAACTTCATTGAGTGTCGACCGTCAGCCAGATCCCCTGGCAGCGCCTTTCTCCTCAGACCGTAATGATCTGTCCATGCCTCTGCACTGTTCACTCACTCCTAAAAGGTCCACACAACATCTAGCTTCTCATAATCAATTCACCAGTTCCTTTCTGTGCCAACGAGAACCACACAGAAGGTCCATCATTGTCCGTTGTGTAAAACATTGATATCTAGCTTGCATAAGGTAGCCCAACACTAACAGTCCGGAACTAGAAGTGCAGTTAATCATGGATAATAAGAAACTTGCTTGCTTGAATACATTCTCTCTTCCCTTTTTTTTCCAAGTCTGACACACTTTTTTTTTTAACAGTCTGGTCTTCTGCTTTTCTTCTACCCTCTATCTCCCAGTAGCACAAAGTCCTTCAACAAATGTATGTCATGTCATCCTGGCCATTGCTTGCTATTGTGTGCATTCACCCTGTGTGCTCTATTATTTTAATTATCTCGTTCCCTTCTCTGTGTGTTTTGTTTTTGTTTTATGAGTGGGTATGCCTGTATTGTTATGCCACTGTGGGTTCTAATGCAAAGACATTCTAGTTATATCGTTCTAAGGTTTTCTCAATGTGTGCTATCCCGCACCTGTGTGTTTTTCTAACCTCTTGACTCACCAGATTTTGCCTCTCTCTCTCCCAAAGCTCTACATTAATTATATCAAACCATTTAATTCCCTCTGTTCTGCAAAGGCACCAGTTAAAAAATGTTGTAATTTATTAGTAATTGTATTAGTTGTTCTCCATGTTTCTGTTCCATACAGCAGTACTGATTTAACATTCAACAGACATTATGCCTGTATTCTTGTGCCACTGTGGGTTCCAGTGCAAATACATTCTAGTTATATTGTTCTCAGGTTTTCTCCTCCTTCATCCTCCTCTCCCTCTTTTCTAATCTTTCCTCTCTTTGATCCTCTATCTTCCTCTTTTTGTTTTTCTCTCTCCGATTTCTCCATTTTATACACAGGTAAACAAGTTTATTAGCCTTTGAGCTGGTTATCAAACTTTGTAATTGTCTCCCACTGATAGTGTGTGTCTTCTATCTTACTCTCATTAATGCTACATGTCTCTGAGTACATATGTTTTAGCTTACATGTCAAAGTGATAAGGACAGAACAAACAAAAAACTGTAGGCATATCAGTACAAGAGGTAGGATAGAAAACAGGCCTACAATCTTTACTGGATGGACAAGAGGAGGTAAGTCACGCAGAAGGAAAACACAGTTTTATATGTGTGGACAGCATCATGAGATGATTGCAACAAGCCTGTTTCTTCTTCTTCTTTTTTGCTTTTGTTTTTGTATGTTCAGGTCAAATTGCCAGGTGGTCTGCCTCTATGAATTCGCATGTCAGTTGCAGGTCTCTCGTGGTTCCCCACAGTCTGCTCTGCACTCTGCACACGTTACTCTTCAGACCAGGTTTCTCTTCATAGCTTTAAGTATAACAGGCAGGCTTGCAGAATGTGCTTAGGTGTTTGTGGTCCCATCTGACTTGCACACTGTGGGGACTGTACAGTAATTTTTAGTAGTCTTGATGATGGCATCTTGTATACAAAGGACTGAGGATGTTGGGATGCAATGCCAAGGTGGACCTTGACAATGATGATGCCAGCTGTTTCCTAGGTGTTCTTTCTGAATTTTTCTCATCTTTTCTGATCACTTTCTCATCTTTTCACATGAATTCTTCTTCAGTATTTCATTTCTTTTGATACAACTGTTGTTTTATCTCTGACAATCATCTTCCAGTTCTGGTACTGGTAGCACAGTGTTGGTATGGAGATTGTGTTAACTCATGTTTCTTGTTGTCTGTGGTTCTTTCAGTTACTTTATTTCAAGAAAAACATTTTGCAAGCGCTGCATATTGTTTTAATCATTATGTTGATTACATTTATGCCCAAGTGAGGCAAAAGCATTGTAAAATATACATTTTTGAATAGCATTATTTTGATTAATTACTTGTTCGTAATACTTGCCACTTTTCAACTGACATTTCTGATTGTTTTCATCCAGTTCATATTTTACTTTTAAACAAATTTATAATAATAAAATAAAACTGCAAAAAGCAGCTTGCCACTATACAACTTATATCTTTATATTAGAATACTAGAGAAACTTAAACCAAATCTGATTTATTTTAAAATTATGTGCACTGCTATACCACGTTCATATTAGTTGATAAGGAAAAGTTATAAAGCTAATATCTTTCTTACATTTGTTTGCATACCAGATAAACTATAGACAGCATAACTGACTGAATAGGTAGAGATGTGTTTCATTTTAAAATAATTCCTATAGTGAATAAATATTAAAAAAAGTGAATGGCAGCCTTAGTTATGCCTAAAGATGTACTCTTGATTTCTTGTTATTGCATACTTTTTAAATTCTTTCACTCACTAACAAATTACATATCTGCCTAACTTTTTTCTATTTGTGTGCTTTTTAATTGAATTATATCTACGCAATTAGACCTGCCTGCTGCCATTTTTCTGGTGTATTCTGAACATGCTTGTATTTTACATGCCACTGTACTTTTGCCCATTTCTGCATCATGGTATCTAGTTTACATGTAGATACAGTTTTTAACTGTATCTACAGTTAAAAACTGCAATCTCACAAGGAAACTAGTCAGTGTCTGATTGAATGTACATTAAATGTAAACTCTTGGAAGCTGGGCTAGTGAGCAAAGAAAAGAATGTTGCTGGCACCTTTCCATCTTTCCAGATGTGAGTGTTATATTGTGCTGTTGGGAGGCATAGGAGTCCCAGCCTATCCATAGCACAAAATTTAGGTTGTATTGTAGAGACCATGTGTTGCCTGTGCTCATAAAATCTGTCAGAATGATTGTCAAGAACTTTCTGGAAAGAAAAGTTGGCAAGAAAGGAAACTCATAACTACATCTCATTATGACATGACAGTATGTAATCATCATCTAGTGCCTTTTCAGCTGGCGTAGGCATTCAGATCTCAGTCTTTGGTGTTCTGGATCAATTCTACTGATTATATTCCTCCATGCTATCGTCTTACACAATCCACCATCATTTCTCTTGGTCAGCCTTTGCCTCTTCTAACAGTGATCTTTTCAGTCGTCACAATATTTTCCAGGGCTCCTTTTCTCATTACAGGACCAAAGAATTTTGTTTGTATGACAGGGCTTTTTTTCCTTGGTGCAACGGTTCGCTGTACCAGCACCTTTTTTTTTATTGTAGGCATTATTATTTTTCATTACTCTTGTAATACAATGGGAAGTCATTAAGTAAAGGCAATTGCAATAATGTTTTTTTTTTTTATTACAAGCCGCTGGAACACAGTTTTTAAGTGTCCCATTTCTTTACACAGCCTTGCAACCAATGTAGCCCACCGCCCCACAAGATTATGGATGTCCATTGGGTAGAAGCTTTTGGGTATGGCCAGTAACCAAGTTTGCACCACCGACATCACCTCATTCTCATCTAAAAATCTCCGACCCTGCAAATGTTCTTTCTTTGGGCTAAACAAATCAAAGTCCGATGCTGTCAAGTCAGGGCTGTATGCTAGATGTTTCAATACTTCAAACCACAGAGTCTATAGTATATCTATATCTTCTTCAGGTCCACTGGTTGTAAACTCTGGCAGAAAGTTCTGGTTGTTCATCCACTCCTGTACTTAAGTCTTAAACCAGAACCTGAGTTTTGCGCACACATCCGTTTTACACACACATCTGTTTTACAGATCTGGCTTATTTGTGTGCAGACTGTTGGTTCCTCACCTCTCAGGCAGATGCACTCTGACTTCTAAGGGAAACATCTCTAATTAGTCGGCAATTAACAACATGCTTGTTAGGTGGCAGTAGATCTATTCTCCTCCTCTGCCCCTAGTGAGGGTCCCAGAACCCACATGAGGACCTGAGTATATTTAAAGGCTTACCACTTCACTCCCCAGTGGCGGTATCTACAATAGGACTGACTAATCACCAATAGGACTGACTATCTTTTGATGTGTTCTGCTATATTACAAGATGAAATCAATAAAATTCTCACCCTGTGTTCCAGCTTATGATGTTAAAGGCAGCAATATCATCTGGGATATAAGCAATCATGGTAATCTCATACTTCTTTGGCATCTGACACATGGTGTTGTAGCTGTTGTCTACATGTTGTTACTTTTGGGAAACAAACATTTAAAATTATTATATGTTTATATGTGCATCCTCATAACTGGCAAATTTATATGCAAGTATTTTTTTTTTTCTGACTCATGCATTGTTAACATTAATATAAAAAATATATCAAACCAAATGAAAAGACAAACTAGTCAGAACTTCAGGTTGTCGCAATCACAAACAACATGTGAAAGTTTTAGCTAGAAAGCTTTCATCAGCACGTTATGAACAAGAATACAAGGTCCAACAATTAAGTAATGAGACTGATTTTATTATGGTCAAGACAAAAATGCCATCTATGAATTAAAGCATGGAATCCAAAGAGGCAACCTTCATCTATGATCTGGCAACTTGTCACCGCAGCCCGATAAGCAGACAACAAATAAGCCGCTATTTTGTTGACCTAGTCAGAGGTGCATTGTTACGTAATCAGCATGGAGCAAACAAAGCTAACATTAAATTATGTTTAAAAAAAGTGCCATTGCGACAGTTGAATTGATGCGACAAGTTTATGGGGATAATTGTTTATCTTGTGCACAGATTTTCAGCTGGTATTAACGATTCAAAAGTGGTGTGGAAATGATTTCTAATGTAACTAGACCGGGATGCCCAATTTCTGTTCGTAATGAGGAACCCATTGCAAAATTCAGAGAATGGATACAAGAAGATCGTTGCTTGACTAAGGAGGATAGTAGATGAATTTGGTGTTGATACAGAGACCATTTGTAAAATTTTAGTGGAGGTGCTCCAGGCTGAATAGGTC